ATCAAGGTGAGTTCTGCTTCCTTTACCCTTGAATTATTTCTGGAACCCACCTCCTCCTCCTTATCCTGAAGACCAATGATAACATCCATGCAGGGCCTCACTGCTTTCTGCCTGGGCCATGGCAGTCACCTCTTAGGGACTTCTTACCCCACTGTAAATCCTCACTGCCACCAGAGAGATTTTTCTGAAACTTACACTAAAAGTGTGTTAATCCTGGTGTAAGATGATCCTGGCACTAGCTGCCACATAGCTTCAGACTTATCCCTCTAATCCTGGCATGTCATCTGTACAGTCCCTGGGTGGCATAAGCAGTTAAGCACTTAACTACTAAAAAAAGAGGCACCCGTAAGTAAGGCCTGGCAATCTGTTTCCTAAAGTCACACCCACAGAGCAGTTCTGCTCTGTGTACATGAGGTCCCCATGAATCAGGAACAACTCAGTGGCAGCTAAAAATGACAACTCTACTGACTCATAGTGAGTCAGAGCAGACTCGATGGTGAAGAATTGGTGAGCACTATGGGAGATGATGCCTACGGAGCGTTTAGCTAGGTGCCTGCTCATTGTGAGCCCTGGGTAAACAGTGGAAAGCCTGCCCCCTGCTCCTCCGTCTTCCCTGTTCATCTCTGGAATCACCCAGTCTGATGCCAGTGTATCTTGGCAGCCTCTTCTCCTCAAGCGTTCCTGTTACACACCCGAGCTGCTTTCCCTTAGTTCACACTCTCATCACTAGACACTCCTTCACCTTGGCTCATGCGCACTAGAAGTCTGTCGTCCGCGCTGTGCCTTCTGGGCTTCAAGGTCAAACGTTACAGCACTCTGAAGTCCTCTCTAAGTTTGCTTCTTCTCTGTGTTAGGTCGGTTGACTAGAGAAACACATCTAGTGTCACTCATATGTGTATAAGAAAGAGCTTTAGATCAAGAAGTAATTATATATCGAGAAAACAGCCCAGCCTAGTCCAACTCAAGTCCATAAGTCCGGTACTAGTCCATAAGTCCTTCTTCAGACTCACGCAGTCATATGCATTGATGCAGAAGGCAGGAAGGTCACAGACCGGTGGGTGCAAAGTCATGTGGATCCAATGGAGGTGAAAGCATCAGGTCTCTGGCAGCAGCCAGGGGCTGCCAGCAGGAAGGGGAAGGTAAAGAGAGAAGGGGAGTTCCAGGACCTTCTTTATGAGCCGGCCACACCCACAGGGTGAATACCACCCCTACACTTTTACATATCTTCAGGTTGGCATGAAATTATGTAACCACCACACTGTCACACCACGGAAGACTTAGCTGTTCACTTCTGTAAGCACTTGTGCCACACATCACATCTGTTTCAAGAACACACATTCCTTGTAAAGCAGGGGTGAAGTCTGGCTAATCCTGGCCCATAGTGCTTAGCAAAGCATTTGTGCATATAATGTGCTCCACAAATGTCTGCTTATTAGGCCCAAAGCTTAGTAAACATATGGACTCCTTTCCTGCATAATTAAAATGTTCTTTCTGAACAGATGTGCTTTAGATCATATGACATTCTGAAAAGGGAATCATGATAAAAATCCAGGAACTTTATGGTATTGAGTTATGGTTCTGTACATTCATAATCAGTATGTACAGCATGCATACTTTAATTAGGAGAAGCCCTATTGTGCCAGTTTCTTGAGTGGCCTTCTCTCTGTTCCCAGAAAAAGAACATTTAAGTTTTTCCGTGATCCAGTTTTCAAGTGGAAGACAGCCCTATCGTGACCTTTATATTTCTCTATCATGTCATGGAACATATTTTTGAGTGCTGGGAAGATTGGCCCAAAGGGGATCATACAATGCCCCCTTAGGACTGTGGAGACAGTGGTGTGTGGGGGAGAGTTCTTGGCTGGGCTCCAGCTAAACAGAGCATGCTCCTGCTTTAGTGGAGCTGCTTCTGGGACTTAGACCCTCTCCGTTCTGTGCCCATCTTTCCTTGAAGGTCCCCAGTGGAGAGAAGCCTTCCTCGATCGTTGCTGTTGTTAGGTGCCGTTGAGTCAGTCCTGACTGCCCCTGACTGCTTAGGCATAGATTGCGTCGCTGAATCAGCCAGCCCAGGGATCCAGTCCTCAATGATTGAATAGGCAAAGGTCCCCATGCCTTCAGGGATGAATCCTTGCCTTGTTGTGGTTGTGAGAGGCTGTTGAGTCATAGCGGCACTTGACAGAATGAAACTGCAGGGGCCTGCACCAGCCTCACAACTCTTGCCCCAGTGAGTCATTGTTGCTGTCCGAGCCCATCGTGGAAGGCCTTCCTCTGTTCCACTGACCCTCCACTCTACCAATCATGATGTCCTGCTCCAGGGACCGTCTCTCCTGAGAACGTGTCCAAAGGACCTGAGACACATTTTCACCATTCTTGCTTCTTAGGAACATTCTGACGGGCTGTACTTCTACCAAGCAGATTTCTTTGTTCTTTTTTCAGTCCATGGTACTTTCAATATTCTTCGCCAGCACCATAATTCAAATCTATCAATTCTTCATCGGTCCCCCCGCCCGCCAATTTTATTTAATTTGTTTTTAAAACAGTTTTATTGGGACATAATCCACATATCATACAATTCAACAGTTCAATCATATCCAGCCGAGTTGAACAACCATTACCACAATCAATTTTAGAACATTTTCTTCTTTCTTACGCTCCTTGTTCTTAGTGCCCCTGGTGTTCTGTATTCAGTGTTAATTTCCACATATGCGTGCGTGTGTGTGTGTGTGTGTGTGTGTGTGTGTGTGTGTGTGTTACATAATCAGTCAACTTGCGGAGTGGTTATCAGTTTGCAGCTTGATAACCTCATTTGGCAGTACTATGGAAATAAATAGCTCAGTGGAGGCCAAACCCACACAGACTCTCTGCTTTGTCTCCCTGTGAGACATTCCTGTTGACAAGCCACATGGAGCTATGCTGATGGAACCAGAGCCGTGGAGCTCAAATAGCCACATGGAGACCCACACCAGCGCTGAGATGCTTCCACCACCACTAGATCCACAAGACTTTCTACTCACTGGCCCACAAAAAGGGATCAATCAGGCTGTGACCTGATTGACAGGCTAGACCCCACCCCTTAATTCTTTTATCATGTTGACATGAAATTGTGTAACTACTTCAGACCACCCCTTGTCACCTTGATACCTTTACACAACTCTGTAGCCATACATAATTTTTAAACTAAGCAGTAATAAAATCATATCTGTATTTAATAGGATAAAACTAAAATGCATGCAATTCAAAACGTGCCAGCCTCATTTAAGCATAATCTATAAGTGAACAACACAACAATATACTATGCTTAACAATTGCAGTCGTGTGAACACCTACACCATGATCCTATAAACATATCTCCCACTTATGAAAGTTTGTAAGCCAGCTACTTCATGCCTTTATACGCCCAATTTGGGGTATCTGGTTTCTATACTGCCCACGTACATCAAACCAATGTTGTGAGAAGACATACATATTCTTTGACGTGAAGAATCATCATTCCAATTGGAACCTTGTGAGTTAGCATTCATTAGCAAAGTCAAATCAGGACAGGGCATCCATAAAATCAGCAGCAGTATGCACCAGTTCACAGGCTCAGAAATCTTCTCTCTATCTGGTTGAGTTCTGGATAACTCAAAGTGGGCTGCCTCACTTGGCCTCACCAGGGTGCCCATTGGCCACCTCACCTTGAGACCATGGGCCCCATCACAAATTCTCAACAACCCTACCCCCATTGGGCTAGATCATGAACTTCAAACCAGCCAACCCGCTCTCCTCTTCTCCTCTAGTCCCTGTGAACCAGGTCTGCAGGTGTCAGTGGCCAGATTCAACCCATCTCTCTATTGCTGATTTTCTCCCACTTCCACTCAAGTGGATCCAGTTGGTCACCTAGCCAGCACTTCAGGCTGCCTGCAGGATCCCTTTAACATTCAGCATAAAGAGGAGAGCTCCTTCTTGGCTCCAAATTTTTCCAGCTTCAGACACAAACCAATAGTTCAGAATTCAAAAAGCTAAAGGGTTCCTTTTTTTCTTCTTCTTCTTCTTCAGTCTGTCAACAGTCCCCTAGGGAAGTCTCTTGAAGTCCTGAGTACTCCAAAGCACTGATGGGGGCTTATCTTTTCAGAGTCTCCTTTGCAGGAGTGTCCTAACCCATTTAAAGATTCAAATTGATAGCTGAAACAGTGAATTTACAAACTCTCTATTTATACTTCCCAATAACCACTTCTACCAATCATTATATCAAAAGCAATAGGCAGTAGAAAACTGTATAAACCTCGTAGAGCCAGATCCTAAACTCAATCTTAACACAAGTCAAGTTCCCTTATCTATTTTATCCTTATTTAAGTTATTCCATCGACATGAAATTGTGTAACTACCACACTACCATTAACTTCGTTGCCTAGATGGGGAAAGTTGAGTCTTAGTGAATTTCAGTAACTTTTCCAGGGTCACAGTCCTGGGAATCAAACTCACACTTGCTGGGCTTCAAGGCTGCTCTCCTGCATCATTCTATTATCTTGGAAGTCCAACGCGGGCAGGCTGTTTTGAGAAATTCAAGGTTGATTCAGTAAAACCTTGCCTCCCATTGTGCTTAGATATTATCACAGTGACAACAGATACTTAGAGCCAGGCAAGCAGGTGGCACTCTGCCCCGGCAACCGATGGAGAAAATGCTGGCCAGCCCTCATGGGATCAACACCATATGTATGGCGCCAACTGGAGGCTATTCTGAATCTGAAGAGTGAATCAGAAGCGAGGAGGGAACTATTTTATTATTTTTTAAAAGGTAGATGGTGTTGTATTATAAAAGATGCTCATTAAAATGTTAAAGCTGAGCCTCAGAACTAAAAGACAAGTCTTGGGAAGGAAGTAAAAGTTAAGTTACCGTGGGATTATCTTTCGTCATTGAAAAGATTTGTTTATGTCATACCGTTGCTTACTGGTGATAAGGCAGGATGCTCCATGTGTAGTGTTTCCATATTAATGTATCCTCGTTAATCTTGGGTTTACAGCAATATGATATTACTTTATCTGACCTAAATCAGCCTGTGCTTGTTAGTCTGTTGAAAAGCAAGAGGAATGACAATACTGAAGCTCGGATTGTCCACCTGATACCGGAACTCTGCTTTCTAACAGGTAATGGCTATGTTTTATAACTCTGATGATCAGACTCTTGATCACGCAGTATGCTTAGCAGTGGATAGAACCTGCTGAAGTTAGCTAAGTGCCAGAGAATTACATTAACGCAGGGAAGATCGGATCTTTAAGTAACTGATATGGCTCAAGAAAAGGGGGAGAATAGAAGGCCCTTTGGAAACCGATTGGCATGTTAAAGTTATCTGTCTTCTTCTTCCCCTGCACTCAGGCCCCCCAGATATTTCCCTAAAACCACGCTGCTCTGTGCTACTTGTTGAGCTTCACCAGTATGGGAAGCGGTGTATGACTGATTGACTTCAGCCCAGTAATCATCCTCCCTCGGGGGTCTCATATCGATCCTCATTCTCTTTTTGCATGAACTCTCAGAGGGTAGTTGTCACCATGCCGTAGAATCTCAATCATTGTCTGGAGAACTGTTTAGCAATGTTTCGTAGATCCACGAGAGGGGAGGTGGTTTAAGAAGGGAGGGCTTGCTACATCTCACAGTTTTATATGGGTTGGCTCGATCATGATGTGTTTTTATTTTTCCGCTCCAAATTCACGGTCACCACGTCGATTCTGACTCCTAGTGGCCCCAGAGGACAGGGTGGGACTGGCTGTGTGGGTTTCTGAGACTGTAGCTCTTTACGGGAGTAGGAAATTCTCGCGCCCAGAATGTCTGGGAGTTTCAAACTGCCGACTTTGCAACTGGAAACCTTAATAAGGATGTAATCCTTGAGGGAAAGGTGCTCGTTCTTAGTGGGAAGTCTAATATTCTGTATCGACACAGTTCCATATCGTAGCTGCAGGAGTCCACTGAGCTCTGGAAGTGTGTCACGGAAGGGTGGAATGGGATGTAGAGTCAATTTAGAAGACTGTTGAAAAACAAAAGGAAGCTATTAGATTCATACATTTTAAATATTGCGTGTATGTTGAATTAAGAGTTTGGATACACGGGGTTTAAAAAAAGCGTATTTAAAATAATTTCACCCGTTTTCTTCTTGTTTTGATTTTTTTCAGCATGGCTACAGGAACATTTAAAATGCCATTTCTTTACAAGGAGTTGATTTTTTTGGTGGCACGGATCAGTCTGAGCCCGAGCAAGCCCCTTGCATGGTGCCTGAGATGGGCAGGGGTGGAGTCGACTGTCCATTTTTGCAACGTTGCCTTTGTTTGCATTTCACAGGGCTGACAAAGCAGGCAGTCTCGGACTTCCAGCTGATGAAGGCTGTGTCTGAGGTGACTTGTCTCAGCCCTTTGGGCAGGCAGCAGCGGCTGGCCAGGCTTGCCGACGATATTCAAAGGTACTGTGGTGGGAGAAAGAGGAGGCTTTCTAGTCCCGCGAAGAGTTCCCGTCTGGGAAGCCCATAGGGGCCGTTCTGCCTTGTGCCGCGGGTCACTGTGAGTCGGAATCGACCCAGTGGCAGTGAGGTTGGTGTGCGTTCGCTCTTTCTGGCGGGCCAGAGTCCCTTCTGGGAGTGGTGTGCACATAGGTTCCGGCCCAGGCGACAGAACTGTGTGTTCTCCGAGGCGACTTCAAAGAGCTCATGGAAGCATGGCATTAAACGATAACGGGGGATTTTTGAAGTCCCTTTATAGACAGGACGCCCCACTGAAAGCACTAGGCTACTAACCTAAAGGTGGTCAGTTCCAACCCAGCCACCACTTCGTGGGAGAAAGATGTGGCCCCCGTTCATGTAAAGATTCCATCCTGGGAAATTTCTTTAGGCACATTGCTCCCTGAGGAGTACAAATAAATGGTGAACACACTCAGTTGCTAAGCGAAAGGTTTGAGGTTTGAGGTTTGAGCGCACCCAGGAGTGCCCTGGAAGAAAGGCCTGGCAGTCTACTTCTGCCAACCCAGCCACTGGAAGCCCTGTGGTGCAGGCGCACTCTGATGCTCATGGGGTCCCCTGGGTCCTGGTGCCCCCAGTGACCCCTTGGCAGTGGTTGTGCAGGCATGGTCTCACTGTGTCCTGCATGGGACCCTCTCATTCTCGCTGACCCCGAGCGAGGGGTGTTTGAGCAGTGTTTCGCTCAGGGCTAGTGGGTGGAGGGTAGGAGGTCATGCCGGTTAAGAGTACCTCCGTCTTGACACAGCTCTCCCGATATCTGCGTACTATGGCATTGAGGTTCTGGAGAATATTTTGAATGGAGAAAAAAATAGTAGAACAAAAGAAGAAAACAACAAACATTGCAGTTCCCTCGTGCCCAGAATCAGGAATGCTGTCTTAACCTGGCCTCAGCACCCTGAACGGGAGGAAAACCTCACTCTGCATTTGACAGGGGATCTGCGCGCCTGTGCGTCAGCCTGTCTGATTCTCAGACTTGTCCCTGGCCCCACTGTGCTACCCAACACTTTGTCCCACTGTGATGGGAGACTGGAGCTCCCCCGGGTCTGACCGACCTGCAGGGCCCCGTCCTGTGGCTGTTTGTCCCCTATGGCTATCAGGTACTTGGAATATGGCTCATGACGCACGTTGGCATGGTAATAATTTGGACCTTCACATCCAGAAGCTTTAAGACACTCTTTATCTCAACACGTTCATTAACAGGGGCGACGGTCTCTCACTGATTGGTCACTTTGCCTGTACTATATGCACTGTGCTAACCCCTCGTATTTTGCCATTCAGTGAACTCTTTGAGGCAATTGCTTGTACTATGCTTACATTTTTTTACCCATAAAGAGCTCAAAGCTTAAAAAGATTCAATATTTTGCTCAGTGTCACACACATATTAAGTGTTAAAGCTAAGACATAAATCCAGTTCACTTCGTTTCCATGGTCCATTTTTGTAACCATGTTGTGTGGCCACCTTTTCCCATTCTTGCAATGGTCTGATTGGGCGCCATCTTCCCATGATCCTTTTGAGCATCATATTGTCCTAGTCACAAAAGACATGGTGCAAATAACAATAGAGAATTGCTTTATGGTTGTGCCGAAGAGTAGGAAAATAAGGGGAAGAAATAGAAGCCAGGAACTGGGGGGTGTGGGTGGGGAGAAAAAGAATAATCCCTAACTAATCTAGTAATGTACAATTCAGAGAGGAGCCCTAGTGGAGTAGTGGTTACACGTTGAGCTGAGATCTGCAAGGTCAGCTGTTCAAAACCACAAACGGCTCCATGGGAGAGGGATGAAGTTTTCTATTCCTGTAAGGAGTGACAGTCTCGGAAACCCACAGGGGCAGTTCTGCCCTGTCCTATAGGTTGGCTATGAATCAGAATTACCTCGATGGCAGTGGGTTTGTGTTCGTCTAATTGGATCTCTAATGATTCCAACTCTACAAAATCAGCGCATTAATGATTCAACACTCACCTCTCTCAACAGAAACAGGGATGCACGCTTCGAGCTGGAGACCTGGGGACTGCACTTCGGACACCAGATGTCGCTCACGGGCCGCGTGGCGCCTTCAGAGAAAGTGCTGATGCAAGACCACGTGGTAAGCACTGCACTTACTACTTTTCACGACGGCGAGCCCAGTGGACGGCTGGGTGAGCAGTAGGCTGTTTTTGCGGGCTGTCAAGTTCATTCCGACTCACAGAGATCCCGGCTGACCGAGTAGCCCTGCCTCCACAGAAATGTCCTAGGCTGAAATCTTCACAGCAGCGCGTGGCCGGCTCTTCCTACCTTAGAGCCACCGGGCAGATTCCAAACCGCCAGCGGTGTGGTGAGCAGTCTAATGCTTACCTTTGCGGCAGCAGGGCGCCTTCCAGAGTGACGGGCGGGCCTGTGATCCTCATTCGGTTTCCTCTCTCCCTGTCCTAAGCCTGCCACTGCGATTTCCTTTTCAGAATGGGCTTGGGTGACCTCTGGCCCGTGTCACATCCCGCTGCCACATGTGGCTCGGCAGTTTGGGGTGGGTCTAAAGGGTTAGAGAATGATCCTTCAAACCATCGTGTGGCTCTGATGTTCTGTAAGAGCCACAGGGCACGAGAAGCTTCTGTCGACTAGTGGAGGCCCCTAATTGACCCTGTTTCTCGATACCAGGTTTGGTTTTTCAGTTTCACTGCCTGCTAATCTTTCATATGCCAGGTGTTGCTCAGTTGGCATAAAAAATGACGAAATTCACACAGAACTCACCTCAGACATAGCACTTGTAGAGACAGCCATGCTAAAACCCCAGGCACAGCCTCTTGCCAGCTCCAGTTGAAGAAATGGACCCGTTTTATGGGAAAAGTAGGCGCTGCTTTGCTGCTTGTCGCTTGCGTTACCTGTTCTGGAGCCGGTTAGGCTTTATGTCATTTATAACCGCTCTCTTCTTGCCTTTAGTTGGTACAGCACACCAAGCATGTTTAAATGAACACACCTGAATGACAAATCTGTCCTAGTGACAAAAATAGGTATTTCCCCCATCTTTTCTTTTTGATAGTTTAAGTAACAAAAATGATTAGAGAACTGATAGAAAACTACTTTTGGGAAAAACACACAAACTTTTTAAGTGCTAAAAATAGATCCCTCTTAGGAACTTGGTCAGAGGTTCACTAACAGGAACTCCATAAGATGTGGGACTTGACATTGTTAAAACTATCTGCTTCATTATCTCTGTAAGTGAATTATATTTGTCAGTGTTTCGGCTGCTCTTTTTTTTTGGTGGGGGGTGCACAGGTTGAAATAAATCTCATATGGAAAAAGCTCAAACTTACTGCCTTCAAGCCAATTCTGATACATAGCAACCTGATGGGACAGAGGTGAAGGGCACCTGTGGGTGTCCGAGGCTGTACACCTTAGGGGGGTAGCAAGGCTCTTATTTCTCCCTCAGAGAGGCTGGTTGGTTTGAACTGCTGATGTTGTGGTTAACAGCCCAACTTGTAGCCCACTACATCATCAGGGATACTCTCATAAGGCAGGGGCATTAACATGGGAGAACAGAATAACAGAAATGTGGGTGAAGGTAGACAACGCACAGTGTAAGATATGAAATATTAATAACAATATACAATTGATCAAGGATTCACACTGGTGGGATGGGGAATAGAGGAGCTTATACCAAGTAGAAAATATTTTGGAAATTATGATGGCAACATATGTACAAATATGCTTGATATAATCGATGTATGGAAAGTTATAAGAGCTGTAAGAGCCCCCCAATGAAATGCTTTTTTTAAAAATGGGAGAACATGTCCCTAGAGGTAGTGGTGGATACCAGTGGTGACCATGTCATTAACTTCTTGGCCAATTCTGCTTTTCTGAAACTGGATCCTAGGAATTATGCCAACTACAGTCATTGACCTCAGGGTATCCTTGGGACATTGTCCTGGATCTCCCGCTGTCCCTGAAATGACAGCATGTAGGCGAGAGAGCTATGACTCTCCTACTGGCTACAATGGAAAGGAAAGGTCCCGAGCTTCAGACGGTCCTGGTCCTCGGTGTGGAGGGCTACTCCCCTCTGTGTCCTCAGGCTCAGGCCCCCTCCCCTCTGGGCCACCCCAAGGCGAGGCATCAGGAGGGTAGGCGGCGGCAGGGGAGGGCACTTGGTGGAAGTGGCTGCGCTGGCAGACCAGCATTCTAAGCCTGTGACTGTGCTACCTGACTTCTCTCAGCCACAGGCCCCAGTCAGGGAAACAAAGGGATTGGAATGCTTTTTAAATACAAATTCACACAGGGCATTTGTCTGAGATGGGCCACAGGACTCTGCTTTTCTCACAAACTTCCGCGCAGGCTCATGGAGTCCGTGGGGTCCAGGGGCCCATATATAGCATGTTGAGTAGCGATAGATGGAGACTGCGGTATGATACCCTTAATTCTAACAGTGGCTCTTCCTGGTTTGCCACATCAAAGACATTTTCCTTTGTTTTTAACCCATGAGCAGTAGCTGATGGCATGTGCAAAAGCTCCCGGCCCTTTCTTCCGTGAAGGGAACTTGCTTTTGTCTTTTCTTCTGCACTAAAGACCATCCAAGAATGAGAAAGAAACCTGAGTCTTGGCTTCATTTCTGCTCCTAGACATAGCCTGTCTGAGCCTAACATCCAAGGCTGCTTTAAAAACTTTGTGGAAAAAAGACATTAAAAGATAATGGAATTTCCCCCAATGCTCTTTGGAGCCCCTCCGTATGTTCTTAACTGTCTTGTAGGGTTATTACTGATACCTGGAGTATCAATAATATGCATTTTCTACGTGAGATACCTGGATGCCCTGGTGGCGTAGTGGGTGACATATTGGACTGCCAACTTTAAGGTCAGCATTTCAAAACCACCAGCCACTCTGTGGCTGTGGGAGAAAGTGAGGCTGGCTTCCTACTCCTGTAAAGAGTTAGTCTCAGAAACCCACAGGGGCAGATCCACCCTGTCCTGTATGGTCACTGCGAGTCAGCATTCACTCAATGGCAGTGAGTTTGGGTTTTGGGGGGCGCTTATGTCCTACAGGATCAACTAAATGGCAGTGAGATGCCTACAATCAAGAGATATAAAGAGATATTCTTAAGAGACCAGATTGAGCAGTATGCTTGTCTGAGCCACACATGGTAGACGTCATCGGTTCTTAGTGCTGGACGGGATCCTCAGAGATCCTCCAACTAGACGTCATTCATCGCACACATTAGAGGTCCATGATGTAAAGGGGCTTGCCCGAGGCAATGCAACCGGCAAGAACATGCATTTTGTTCAGATGTGCAGTGCCTGTGTCTGAGTGACCTGGGATGAGCTACTTCACGTTTGGCCTCACCCCTCATGCATACAGTGAGGACTGAATTGCTCTGAAAGTCACAAGACCCTATGATGTTCAACAATGGCAGTTTAAAGTCTATGAATAGCAAACTGTACTCAATACCAGTACTTCTCTTATTGTGGCAAACTTGGGCCATCTGCATGTTGCTAGGACTTAACTTCCTCTTTCAATAATTTGTTCAATCATTTTATGATCATTATACTTTTCAGTGTCAACCAGGGTCTGCTGCTGATTGGTCCAAGGATATTCGAGCTTGCAAGGTTTTGAGCGCACCGTCTTTGAACCAATGGCTGCTTATCTACAGCGGCAGAGAGGAAAATATCAACGAGAGCTTTCTGAGCTGCTTGAGAAGAGCTGGAAGTTCCATGGGATTTAATGTGAACTACCCCAAAATGTGAGACTATGCTAACATCTTAATTTGGTTTTGTGTCTCACTGGCAGCCAATCAATTCTGACTCATGAAACAAAACTAAACAAAAACCCTCACTACCATCACTGCCAACTCCAAATGACCCAATAGAACAGAGTACATTTAAGAACCCACTGCCATTGAGTTGATTCTGACTCTGAACAGAGCTCAGGAGCCCGGGTGGCATAGCGGACTGGCATTCAGTTGCTGGTCATGAGGTCAGCAGTTAATCCTGCCAGGTGCTCCTCAGGACAAAGATGAGGTTCTCTGTTCCCGTAAGGATTTTCAAGATTTGGAAACCCAAGGGCGCAGTTCTGCTCTGTCCT